CCACGGGCGGGGACCGGTGAGCAGCCAGGAAGCCCATGCCGAGCTTACAGCGGAGACCCATGCCAAGAAACACCCTGCTCGCCTTCAGGGTGCCCTGGGCGTCTTGTGTTTCGATTGGCGTTCCCACACCAAAAATCAGTGGACGTCCAGGGGTCTCAGGGTTGTGTTTCTTGTGGAAGCTTTCTTGTGGACCGGCCTCCACTGTACCCAGAAGACACGTGGGCGACTCAAACCAACGGGGTCGTCTGCGCCGACATTCGCGCGTAAGCCGCCCGCGCAAGGTCGCGCGTGAGCGCCCTCGCTTCAAATGCGGCGTGCCGCGCGGGCAGCCCGCGTAAGCCACCGCGTAAGGTCGCTATAGGTCGCTATGTTGTCTCGCGCAAGACTCGTTTTTGATCGTCGCGCGAGTAAGAAGCTCTGAGTGCAATAACACCGTTTGGGAAACTTATGACACTCAGCGCAGAAAGTCCGAAGAGACCTGGGGACACTCCACTCAGTGCCTGCGGCACGGTGGCGGATGCTTGCAACGTGCCTGTTCAGTGCAGGCGCAGATTTGTGGTATCCCGCTTTATGTGGGGCCATACCGAGGTTGTCTGCGGCGCCCCTTGTTGTACTTCTGACACGCCCGAGCGTAGGGTTCGCTTTGCATGCTCTTCGGATTTGGAGCTTCACTGGCTGTGCGCGTATGTGCGCAGGGGCCCAGGGCTGCCCAGGGACCCCTTGCCTCAGAGAAGCAGTCGGAGGAGGAGGGAGGAGGAGGAGGAGTAGGAGGAGGAGGAGGAGAAGCACGACGAATAGATCCATAGGTCGGGAATCCCTCCCTCGTCACCTCCCCCCCCCGCCATTCTTTCTCCCAATCTCTGTATCTCTTTCTCTCTCTCTCTCTCTCTCTCTCCCTGTCTGTTTTCCCCCATTATCTTTTGTCGTGGGCGTTCTCACGTGCTTGCGAAGAGCTGTTGGGTGCCGGGCGCGGTCGTCGCCGGGTTCCGGGAGTCTTTGATCCGTTTCCCTTGCAAGGGGTTCCCCGGGGGTCCGTCGCTTCGTTTCCTGACGAGGCGTTGCCTGGGCTCCCTTGGTTCCTTGGTTCCGTAGTTTCCGTGTCGTGGTTTCCGTGTTTTGGTCCCTTGGTTCTTTGGCCTTGGCTTCTTGGCTCCTCGGTTTCCTGGTTTCTTGGTGTTTGGTTATTTGGTTCCTTGGTCCTTTGGTCCCTTGGTCTTGGTTTCTTGGTCTTGGTTCCTTTCAAGCAGTGGCGAAGCGTCCTGGCTCGCCTATAGCCCTACCAAACAATTTTCTAATAACCTTTTTTGGTTTCCACGAAATGTTCTTAGAACATGTCTGGCGGAGTCTGCCTTGTTTTATCACATCGGGTTTATGTTCTAAGAACATTGTTTTTGTTTTCAGAACATTTTTGGGTTCTAGGAACATTTCGTGGTAGGACTATAGGAATGCTGGGACGGTCAGTCCCTGCTCAATCCTTGGTTCCGTGATTCCTCAGTCTTGGTTCCTGGGTTCCTTGGTCTCGGTCCCTTGGTCCCTTGGTCCTTTGGTCCCTTGATGTCTCGCCGCGCACTGCAAAGCCAAGCAGTGCCACGCAGGGCCGAGCAACGCCAGGCAGTGCCAGGCGGCGCCAGGCGGTGCCAGGCAGTACCAGGCGACGCCACGCAACGGCATGCAAGACCAGGCCAGGCCAGGCAAGGCCAGGCAAGGCCACGCAATGGCAGGCAAGGCCACGCAATGGCAGGCAAGACCACGCAATGGCAGGCAAGGCGCGCGCGCGCACCAGCTGCCCAGGCGAGCGCTGGACGCGGCGGCCCTCTACGCGCGGCGCCCCGCGGGCCGGAGGGGGGTGCTGGCCTGCCGCAGGCCGCCGGGGGGGGGGGGGGCGTCCCCCGCCGCGGGCCCCGGAGCGGGGAGGAGGGAAGCGACGGTGCCTCGAGCTGCGCTGGCCTCTGGGGGGGGAGGAGGAGGAGGAGGAGGAGGAGGAGGAGGAGGAGGAGGAGGAGGAGGAGGAGGAGGAGGAGGAGGAGGAGGAGGAGGAGGAGCAGGAGCAGGAGCAGGAGCAGGAGAATGAGGAGGAGGAGGAGGAGGAGGGGAAGAGGAGCAGGAGCAGGAGCAGGAGCAGGAGGAGGAGGAGGAGGAGGAGGAGGAGGTGGAGGAGGAGGAGGAAGGAAACGACAAAGAGGAGCAGTCGCGCGCTCGCCCGAGGGACCGGGAACGGAGAGGACTGAGGGGAAGAGCTGGCGCTTCGGGCGAGGCGCTCCCTCGACCAGTCTTGCAGGGGCCGGGGTGCGCGCAGAAGCGACTGCCGGCGGTCCCGTCCTCTTTCTTCCTCTGCTACGCACCCTTAGATCTTTCAGCTCAGCGATCTAGCCCTTGAGCGTCTCCATGGCGATTGGGGAGGCAAGGGTTACTGAACTGAAGACTCTCGGTGCCCTGGCGTACCGAAATCAATCAGTTCAGTAATCCTCGCCTCCCCAGCCGCCACGGGGACGCTCAGGGGCCAGATCGCCGAGCTGAAGGATCTCGGAGGGGCGTATCTGCTCCCATGCCATGTCCTTACAGACCACGCCGCCCTGTCGCACCCGCAGGCGTGTCCTTGGGGGGTGGCCCCGGCGCTTCGCCCGAGAGTTCCCCGCAACTCATCCGCAGGAGCCTCGCCCTCTGCCGGCGGCCCCCGTCTCTATATAGCAGAAAGAGGAGGAGGAGGAGGAGGAGGAGGAGGAGGAGGAGGAGGAGGAGGAGGAGGAGGAGGAGGAGGAGGAGGAGGAGGAGGGAGGACGAGGGAGGAGGAGGAGGAGGAGGAGGAGGAGGAGGAGGAGGAGGAGGAGGAGGAGGGACGAGGGGTAGGAGGAGGAGAGGAGGAGGAGGAGGAGGAGGAGGAGGAGGAGGAGGAGGAGGAGGAGAGGAGAAGGAGGAGGAGGAGGAGGAGGAGGAGGAGGAGGAGGAGGAGGAGGAGGAGGAGGGAGGAGGGAGGAGGAGGTGAGGAGGAGGAGGAGGAGCGGAGGAGGAGGCGAGGGGGAGGGGGAGGAGGAGGAGGAGGAGGAGGAGGAGGAGGAGGAGGAGAGGAGGAGGAGGACGAGGAGAGGAGGGCGGAGGAGGAGGACGAGAAGGACGAGGAGGAAAAGGGGGAGGGAGGAGGAAGGAGCAGGAGGAGAAGGAGGAGGAGGAGGAGGAGGCGAGGGGGAGGAGGATGAGGAGGAGGAGGAGGAGGAGGAGGAGGAGAAGGAGAAGGTGGAGGAGGAGGAGGAGGAGGAGGAGGAGGAGGAGGAGGAGGAGGCAGGGGAGGGTCTGGGCCCCTCCAGCTGCCTCTTGACCATTCTCGCCTCCTGCCTGAGGTGTCGGCGCTGTGTCGAACACTTCTGGGAGCATCGTGCTCGAGCGAGAGGCAGTCAGCAAGCACCTCGAGGTGTGGGAGTTCCTGTTGAGCGCTTTGCGTCCCTCTCGGAGCGCGAATCTGGCATAATCTACAGGGGGATGGTGGCCTCGGTAGCGCGAGCCTGGCGTCATCTGCGGGTCGTGTCCTAGGGAGCGCGAATGTGGCGTAATGTGCAAACATGGGTTCTGGACTCGGGAGCTCGAATCTGGCGAAACGTTCGAAGGATTTGGGCCCCGGGGGCGCAAATCTGTCGCAATTCTGCACGGAATTTTGGCGTCGAGCGCGAATCTTGCGCAATTCGCAGAATGGGCCCGGGCTTCGGGAGCGCGAATCTTGCGTATTTCACCATGCATTTTTTGCCGTTTATTCTGGATTTGGGCTTCCACAGCGCCAACCTGGCGCAGTTTACAATCGATTCTTGTTTCTGGAGCGCGAATATGACGTACTTGAATATGGGTCTTGGCTTCGGAAACGTCAACCTGACGCAAATAACGTGCACTACGCAGCAACAGTGGCGTCGGGAGCGCGCAGCAACAGTGGCGTCGTGGGTACTCTGGCCTGCGCAGCGCAAATCCGGTGTAATTGTTCCAGGGGCTCTAGCCCCAGAATTCCGAATCTGTGCAAGTTTGAAGGATTCTGGCGTCGGGAGCGCGAACCTGTCATAATTGTGCAAGGAGTTCTGGCGTCGAGCGCGAATATTGTAATTTTCAAAAATGGTTCGGGCTTCGGGAGCGCGAATCGTGCGTCATGCGTTCTCTTTTCGTTTACGGTGGATTTTGGCCTCCAGAGTGCATTTTGACTTTGGATTTGGGCCTCTGGAGCGCGGATCTGATGTATCGTAATGTGGGTTTGGCTCTCGGGAGCGCGAACCAGGCGTAACTTACAAAGGATCCTCGCCTCGGGAGCTCGCGCCGGAGGCAGGTCGCGGAGCGGAGCGGAAGCACTAATGCGACGTGTCCCCCACAGCCAATTATTGCATGGTTGCCACAGATTGTGCTATTCTACGTTAGTGCGTAGGCCTCCCTAGCCCTCCCGTGGAGTCGCGCCACATCGGCGGACCAAAGTGCCTTCCCCCCGCCCCTGCCCATGTGGTGCCCAGAAGCGCAGCAAAGCGTATGGAACATCTTCGACATCGGCCTCTGGGGCCTTTTGGGGGTCCACAAGGGCCTTCAGATGACTCAAACATGGCCTCCAGATGGCTCCAAGACGGCCCCAAGACAGCACAAGATGGCCCCAAGAGGGCCCAAGAGGCCCCCCAAGACGGCCCCAAAAGAGCCCCCGAAGAGCACCTCCAGAGGCCAAAAAACATGGATGGTGCTAATGATTTTGGAACGATTTTCGCGTGCGATGGCCTCTAAGCCGGCCCCAAAGGCCCCCAAGAGGCCCCCAAGGCGGCCCAAGAGTTCCCCAAGATAGCCCAAAGAGGCCCCCGAGACGGTTCAAGAGGCCCCCATGACGGCCCAAGAGAACCCCGAGAGGCCCCCAAGACGGCTTCCGAAGGGGCCAGACCGTGCAAGAACACCCCAAGACATTCCAAAAGGCTCCAAGAGGTCCCACGAGGCCATAAAGAGCCCACCAAGAGACTCTCAAGGCTCCCCAAGAAACTTCCAAGAGGCCCCTCCGTAGCCATGTTGGCTCAAGGGAATTGGTTCTGGTTTCGCAAGGGGTGTTCACACCCTCAGTTTCTAGGCTAACAGGGTTCGAATCCTTGCGCCTCACATATTCGTGCTTCTGCAGTGTACCGTCTTCCTCCTTCGTGAAGTGTCGGCCTGTGGTGAAGTGTCGGCCCGTAGTAGTGTGTCATTAATTTGGCAGCTTGGTGTTCACAGCTTTCGGTTAGTAATAACTTGAAAGAAAGTTGCAGCACACAGATGGATGCATGCGCCGCCTTTTTCACATCCATAGATTTCCTATATCGGCTCGAGGCGCTCCGACTAGAGGATGCAATCTTCGAAGGACTAGCGCCCTGGCAGGATACGCATATCATGCTGTTATCTATAGTTGGGAATTTCTTTCCCATCGGCGTCACCCGCTGCATGGTTCTAGATATGTGGGGCAAACTGTCCGTTTGACAACATCGCCAGAGGATGCTTTGCGGAAGCGATGCGTTGAGCATCGTTATGCGGCTCAGAGGAAACTCAAGAATATAGGATTTCATGCATTGTTGCGCCAGCACCCGGATGATTGGGCCATTCGCGTTTTGGACAGTTCCGAGTTTGACAACAGAATCGACGCATTTGCGTGGGCCCAGGACAGAGAGCTTTGTTTCATCAAGTCGTTCGGAGGACCCCTTCAAGACATGTCATCATCGCGCAGGCAAACTTTGAATCTCACCCACGGCGGGCGAGGTAATCCAGCCCCGTTCGCTGAGTATCTTGAGGCCCGGACCGCAGCTGGTTGGAATGCATTTTTTGCGACTCTGTGCAAGTTCAAGTGTCGCGAAGGGCACGTGTTTGTTCCAGTTAAACACGTAGAAGATGGCTACCCATTGGGAAGAGTTGTGAGCAATGTGCGCTGTGGCTTGTTCATACGCGCGGACGCCGACCGCCGTTCCAAGCTTTCTGACATTGGTTTCATATTCTCTGTTGATGAGGCCCGCTGGCAGGAATTCTTCGCCAGCTTGCAGCAGTTTCAACGCAGGGAGGCCCATTGTGATGTACCGTTCCGCCATGTTGAGGACGGGTATCGCTTGGGAATGATGGTGAGATATGTTCGATCTCGTGGCGTCTTTGTCAAGAAACGTGTCGACAGAGTCCACATGCTTGTGCAATTAGGCTTCTGGTTTTCAGCGGATGCTGAGAAGTGGGGTAAGTTGATTCGGGCACTGCGCTCATTTCGGGATCGTGAAGGGCATTGTCATGTTCCTTCGACGTGTGTGGAGGACGGATACAAGTTGGGTTATTATGCAATCCAAGTGCGAAGTCGCAGATACCTAGTCAAGCACGATGCCGACCGGCGGCAAGTGTTAATTCAATTGGGGTTCGCCATCAGCATGCGAGAGGTGAAATGGGACAATTTTCTTCGAGCGCTCATTGCATTCAAAGCGAGAGAGGGGCATTGCAGGGTTCCTCGTAGACACCTGGAGGGCGGCTACGATCTCGGCCAACGCATCTACCACATCAGGTCCCGTGGTGATTTTGTAAAGTGCTGCCACGAGCGGTGGCTAGTGTTGCAGGATTTGGGGCTCGACCTCACAAACAAAAAAAACAACTTCCGAGATGCCCCCAAGAAGCCCCCCAACGGTCCCAAGGAATCACCAATGGGCACCCGGAATTGTATACGTATGGCGCGTCGCTGCAATACTCATTCGAGTTTAAATTCGGCGTTTCCTTGTGCTGTTACGCGGTGAATGCTCAGATTCCGTCGTGGACATTCGCACGCCCGTCCCGGCGCTGAAACGGGGGGGAGCGCATCCGTCACCCGTGGCGTTGGCAGTGCCCGGAGGCGGGCAGAACGACACGGCAGAAAAGCCAGGCAGACGAGCAGGGCAAACAACGCAACGTCCAGTCTTTGCGTGCTCCGGACGTGCATGCACCCCGCGAAGCGAGAGGAATGTTGGCTTCGGGAGCGCGATCCTCGTGTAATTCGCAATGGATTCGCGCCCCGGAGCGGAAATGTTTGTAATTCACCAGGGTTCTAGCCACGGGATCTCGAACCTGGTGTTTTTTCCACCCGACAGTTTGCGGTTGTTAGATTTCAAGAGCAGGCCCCCCGGTCGACCCCACCCTGCATACCGCGGCCGCCAGACCCCAAGTTGTCCCGATGATCCCCGAGAGTCCCGGGTATCCCGCCTCGAGCCCTCGACGAACACGATAGAACACAACATCACATAATAGAAAATTACACAACGGAACAGAACATGACAGAACATGACGGAACATAACATACCAATATCATGACAAAATAGAGCATAACAAAACATCATTCGCCTGGCGAAGGACCCAACCATATGCACTTGTGAATGCCGCAATTGTGAATACCATCTTCGCCCGCGCTCCCTATGTGGCCGCGGCTTCCCGCCAGGGCCCGACATGCTCAGGAACACGTTCGTGGCCGTCTTCGCGGGCGCCGACGACGACAAGGACGGTGTCCTTCTGATTGAAAAGCAGAAGCAGGAGAGGACTTTGAGAACCATGAGGGAGGAGGTGGCGTTGCACGTCGACAAGGCGGCGTACGACGCCCAGGCGCGGTTGTTGAAGCAGGACAACCATGGGGCCACGATCTTCGTGCGGGGTGTGCCGCAATGACCTGGGGCCGCCATGCGAACCCTGCCACTGGCGCCTTTGGTGGAGCTCCCCACGGGGCCACGATCCTCGTGAGGGGTGCGCCGAAGTGGCCCGAGGCCGCCATGCGATACCTGCCACTGGCGCCTTCGGCGAAGCTCCCTATGTGGCCACGATCTTCGTGAGGGGTGTGCCGAAATGGCCCGAGGCCGCCGTGCGAACCCTGCCAACGCAGCCTTCGGCGGAGCTCCCTCGGGGGCCGCGATCCTCGTGAGCGGTGTGCCGAAGTGGCCCGGGGCCGCCGTGCGAACCCTGCCACTGGCGCTTTCGGCGGAGCTCCCTATGGGGCCACGATCCTTGTGAGGGGTGTGGCGAAATGGCCCGGGGCCGCCATGCGAACCCTGCCACTGGCGCTTTCGGTGGAGCTCCCTACGCGTCCACGATCTTCGTGAGGGGTATGCCGAAATCGTCCGAAGCCGCCATGCGAACCCTGCCATTGGGGGCCTTCGGTGGAGCTCCCTACGGGGCCACGGCCCCGGTGAGGGGTGTGCCGAAATGGCCCGAGGCCGCCACGCGAACCCTGCCAGCGGGGGCCTTCGGTCGATCTCCCTCTGGGGCCACGATCCTTGTGAGGGATGTGCCGAAATGGCCCGGGGCCATGCGAACCTTGCCACTGGCGCTTTCAGTGAAGCTCCTTATGTGGGCACGATCTTTGTGATGGGGTGTGCCGAAGTCGCGAGGCCTCCGTGCGAACCCTGCCGCTGGCGCCTTCGGTGGAGCTCCCTATGGGGCCACGATCTCCGAGGCCGCCATGCGAACCCTGCCGCTGGAGCCTTCGGTGGAGCTCCCTATGGGGCCACGCTGCCATTGGGGCCTTCGGTGGAGGCCCCTTATGGGGCCACGAAGCGCTGCACTGGGTGGGTGAAACGCAGGGAGGAGGGAGGAGGACAGGAGGAGGAGGCGGGAGGGCGGGAAGGAGGAAGGAACGCTGGGCGCCGTCTCTTCAAGACGATGACCCAACACCACAGGATGGTTGGGAACAACACGTACAAGAGCACAACGTGTCATAACATAATACGACAAAACACAACATAACAGCACATTGCCAATCATAACGTAACGCAATTTGACATAACATTTCTTATCACGACACATCAGTACATAACATGTCATAACACGACAGCAGAGCATCGTGACGACGAACACGACAGAACACAACACGACACAACAGAACATGACATAACATAACACGAGCATGACAGACCATGGCAGAACAGAACGTACGAATGTCACGACACAATCGAGCAGGACAGAACATCATTGAACATACTTGAACATATCCGAACATTTCATGTCATAAAACAAGGCGGCAAACCACAACATACCATACCACAGCCGAACATAACATAACACACCGTTGCCGAACATATCATATCAGGGCACAACATCACATAACATACCATAGCGCTGAAACAGATCATAGCGACAACGAACACGACAAAACACATCATTACATAGCATTACATGGCGCAACAGGACGCGAACATGACAGAACATGGTAAACCATAACATAGCAGCGTCATGACACAATATCTCATAACATGACATCACATAATACACCTGAGCAGCACATGACATAACATAAACGACAAATCAGAACATAGCCGGGCATAACATAGCACACCAGGGTATACTATATCACATCATAACACAGTGTCGCACATTTTAACATGACGCGGACGCAGAACATAGTGACACATACTATCAACGCGATCATTTCATACCATACAACGCCAAGCCACCAACCGTCATAACATCACAGAACATACCAGAGCATCATATGGCAGAACTCAAGACAGAACACACTCTAACACAACAGAACCGAGCATACCAAAACACTTTTTGACAGGGCAAACTTTAACATGACACAGCAGAACAGACCATAACATAACACGACAGCAGAGCAGAACGACACAGACTAGCAGAGCGTATCATGATATATTTTTCAGACCCGAGCCGTCAACAAACACAATTTCACATACTCTGCCAACAGAAACGGCATAATTCAACATAACATAACAGAGTCGAGCATGCGATAACGCACCACAACAGAACATATGATATCATACCATGACAGCATCACTGAACATAGCATATGACGACAGCGAGGCATAGCGAACCATACTCGCACAACATATTTTACGGTACGATACTGAGCCGAGTTCCCAACTGCATTACGGAACACATACCATTCCATGCCATGACATAGTGCCGCAGAGCAGACCATACCAGAACATTTCAAAACAGATAGTGGCAGAGACGAGCATAACATAACATAGCCAATCAGGAGACAAAAGTACAAGTGAAAGGAACATCAAAGACAACGCATATAATGTCACAGGTGCCACAACGTCACGCCAACCCGTCGAGAACAGAACAGGACATACTATATCATAACATGAAATAGCGTGACAACATGGAACACGGTTGAACCGTTTGTAGAATCCAGGAGCAGCAGTTGTCGACAAATTAGTCGACCAGGCGCCGTCGGGAACAAACGCTTGAGGTTTCGGCGGAGATCGCTCGACGCAGAATGATTTAAGACGGATTCGAGCTTCGGGCGGGCAAATCTGGCGCAATGTGCGAGGAACTGGGCTCGGGAGCGCGAGTCCAGCGTAATTTGCGAAAAAGGCTCGGGCTTCAGGAACGCGAGTTTGCTGTATTTTTACGTATCCCAGGCCCCCCAGAAGTTCAGATTCGGGGGTGGTAGCCAGGGTGGTTTTCGGCCTCCCCCCGTCGCGCGGACAGTGACAATTTACAGAAAGAAACAGAACGTATGACTAGATCGTTGGAAGGTGGAAACCGGTGATGGCGCAGCCTGGTCGCAGCCTGGATCAGGAAACCGAGCCTCGCAGCCTGGTCGCCCGCAAAGGGGGGCTGGCGGATTACATGCTGCCTTCGACAAGTTCCGCGACCTTGTCAGCCCAGCATTATGGGTGGCGGCTGTTCGGGGGGGCGCGGGAGGGCCGTCACGACGATGATGTTGCTGCTGATGGTGATGGTGATGGTGATGGTGATGGTGATGGTGATGGTGATGGTGATGGTGATGGTGATGGTGATGGTGATGGTGATGATGATCATAATGGTGATCATGATGATCATTATAGCTATGATGACGATGATGAAGAGGAGGAGGATGGGGATGACGATGAGGATGAGGATGAGGATGCTGATGAGTTTGATGCTGATGCTTATGATGATGATGATGATGTCGAGGATGAGTGAGAGAGACGGGAAGATTAAGGCAGTCACATGTGACACATGTCGTCTTCACTATTTGAGGAGCTCTCATGGAGCTCGTTCGGGCCGCCTTCGGGGTAAACAGGCAAAGCAGGAAATCCAGCCGGCAACCATGAAATCCGGCTTCGAACGGGGAAGGTTTACTCGGTCAAGCGGGGATTGTTTTCGGTCGAACGGAGAAATTTTGCGGGGCGCGACCAGGACATTTTCTCGAGTGAGCGAGGAAATTGTTTCTTGTCTACGGTTGAAGATCAGTTTCGGTGTTGGTTGCGCTTCGGGGGCTTCCTTGCTAATCGTATTTCTGGTGGGCTTTGGCTTGCTCCTATGTTTCTGAGTTCACGTTTGGGGGCGGGGGCTCATCTTGTGCCTTGGACTTGTGGTTGTTGCAGGTCTTCTTTGTTTCTTTGAGGGTCGAGGAGTGTACTCAACATCTGATTTCGTCGCGTTGGGGCTCTCTGGATGCGGCGTTTCATCAGACTGTTTTCGGTGCCCTTTGGCTTCTCGTGGAATGTAGATCTAGGTGCGCGATTGCTCGGCTGTCACAAGCGGAAGTTTTCAAAAGTAGTGTGGGCGAGTCCCGTGAGTCCCGTTTCCTATATTATCGTTGTTTTCATGTGTTTTCTTGTATTGCACATGGTACATAGCATTTACGGGTCCGTGTTTTCTTCCTTTTTGGGGTTTGTTCTTCTTCGTATGCCTTCGACTTCGGGTGGTTGCAGGTGCCCTGGGTCTCGTTGGCGGTCGGGGGGTGTCCTTGACTCCTGCTTTCGTCACGTTCGGGCTCTTTGGAGGCTTCACTTCGTTCGCTTTCGTGTGTGCAGCCCTTGCGGTCGCTGTGGTCCCTCGTGCCTGCTGTGCAATAACGGGCTGCGTCGGCGCAGTTGCTCCCATGGCAGAGTTTTATTGAACAGCTGTGTGACCATCGCGCTGTCGCTCATCACGTCGTGATTATTGAGCGGTTTTTCGGCGTCGTTGCTGTCATCATCGCGCTGCCGCTTTGAATTCTCATTCTTGTGTTCCCGGGTCCTTCGCGAAGCAGCACCATGCCTGCGAAATGTTTGCCGATACCCACGGCTCCCGCCGTCAAGCCGAGAGCTCGGGGAAATGTTCCTCTCGCCTGTCGACCCTTCTTGGGGGTGTCTTGGCTCTCTTGTGCCGTCTTGGCGCCTTTTTGGGGAGTCGAAGGATCTTCCAAGGCCGTGTTGAGAGTGGTGTTTTTTGAACCCTCTGGTTTATAACGCGCGTTATGCTCCCCCTCCCCCCATAACGTAACGACCCCCCTCCCGCCCATAGTGCGCCCCCGGCATTGCCATTGCGATGTTCGCAGGCTTTTGTGGTGCTCGCAGGCTACCATAATGTTCACGGGCTAGCGTGGCGTTGACAGGCTCACTGCCAGTGCTCGCAGACATGGCGTTGCGCTCGCAGGCTATTGTCGCACATGCAGGGTCCGGCAGTTTTTTGTGCACGCGCGCGGGGTTCGCGCAGCCTTCTGGTGCTGGCAGGGCCGCGAGAGTTTTGGTAGTGGTAATTTTTGGTGACAGAAGTAGTGGCAAAAGTCGTAGCAGTAACAGTGATACCAGGAGGAGGAGGAGGAGGAGGAGGAGGAGGAGGAGGAGGAGGAGGAGGAGGAGGAGGAGGAGGCGGGGAGAGGGTGGCAGGCGACGGGGTGTCGTCGTAGTCGCCGTCGTGTTCGTTTTGTGGTCGTGGTTATCGTTGTTATCATTGTTGTAGTCATCGTCGTCGTAATCGTCGTGGTCGTCGTATTCGCCTTGGTCGTACCACTAGTCCTCGTCGGCGTGGTCGTCGTTGTGACCGTCGTCGTGACATTCGAAGCTGTCGTAGTCCTCGTAATCGTCGCGGTCGTCGTCGTCGTGATCGTCGTCGCAGTGTTCGCATCGCAATTTACAAGGGTTTTCGCACTTGCTCACCCGTATCGTGCGCGCTTGCAGGCATCATTGTTGCCCGCCTCTTCCTTTGGGCCGAGGGGCGCCCAGACCCCTCCCAGAACCCATTTCGACAGAGGTGTGTAATGAACGCAGTGGTTGTGGTGTACGCGAGCGCTGTGGTGCCCGCAGGCTTTGCGCTGTCGCAGGCGCTGCGGTGAACGCGGCTGTTGTGGTGCACGCAGGCGCCGTTGTTCATGCAAGCACTGTGGTGCATGCGTGCAGCATGCATCGGGACAGGCAGTGCGGTGCAGATTTGAGGTGTGTTTCGTGCGGCACTCCGCTTGTAAGGGGGGTGGTCCTATATATCAGTACAGGACACCTACAGAGCAGGCGTGGCATTCGAACACGCCCACATCGTGCAGACACGGTGACGGATGACCCTGAAGCTTGAAATTTGCAGTTGTTTCACGGTTGGTTTTCAAAATGTGGTTCTCGTTGGGGCCTCGCGCACGTTCGCCTTAAAAGTTTCCAGTACCTGCACTGAGGGAGGGCTGTTCCTTTCCATAAATTTGCTCGTGCCTTAGCGCTGGGCGCATTCGTCCCAAAAGTTTGCAGCACTTTCTCGGATGGAGGGCGGTTTCGTTTTCAAAGTGTGGCTGTTTCTTTAGCGCCACGAACATTTGTTGTACAACTTTGCAACTTCACAGATGAATCAAAGCTAGTTGTTTTAACATGTGTGTTCAAACATGTGCAACGATTTAACATGGTTGTCGTTTTAGCACTGCGCACATGTGTTTTCAAACATGTGCAACAGCTTCGCAGATGGAGGGTCGTTCCTTTTCAAAATGTGACTCTCGCCGTAGCGCCGGGCACACTCGTCTGAAGTACGTACAACGCTTTCACGGATGAAGGGGGTGGGGTGTTTTCAAATGTGGCTGTCGCCTTAGAGCCGCGAGCATTCGTATAAAATGATTGCAGCAATTTTAAGGATGGAGTGGGGGGGGGGTTGTTTAAAATGGTGATCTCTCCTCAGTGCCGCGCGCATTCGTTTCAGAAGTTTGCACGCGCGGTTCCTTTTCAATGAGGAGTTCTCGTCTTAGTACTAAGAGCATTTGTTTCAAATGTTTGTCATCCTTTCAGGGATTGTTAATAGGTCGCTTACAATGTGTGGCTCTCTCATCAGCGCTGCGAGCATTCGTTTTGACGCAACAGCTCGCAGGATGGAGGAGTACCATTTTTCAAACTGGAGATCTCGCCAGACATTTCTTTCAGTTGAAAGACCAGAAAATTCAATTCACGTAGCGCTGCACGGATCCACGGTGGATCCTTCCCCAAACATATTGTGGTGTTGGGTCTTCGTTTTAAAGAGACTCCGCCCCGCGTCTCACCTCACCTCACCTCTCTCCTTTTCTTTCCTCACATTCCTGCCCCTGCCTTCCGCATGCTCAGAGTGGCACACCCCTGACCCGTTTCGTGGCCCCAAACAGAGCTCCACCGAGGGCCCCAGCGGCAGGGTCCGCGTGGCGGCCGCGCACCCGTTTTTCGAAACACTCCCCTCACACGTGTCGAACCCAGAAGGGAGTTCCAAGGAAGGGCCCAGCGGCAGGGTCCGCATGGCGGCCCCGCGCCAATTCCGGCACACTCCTTATACGCGTTGTGGCCTCATGGAGAGCTCCGCCGCAGGCGCCAACGGCAGGGTCCGCTTGGCGGCCCCGCACTGCTTTCGGCACGCCCCTCGCACTCGTCGTGGCCCAATGGGGAGCTCCGCCGAGGGCGCCAAAGGCAGGGTCCGCCTGGCGCTCCTGCCCCCATGTCGGGACACCCCTCGGAGCTCTGGCTGTCGAGGAGGAGGAGGAGGAGGAGGAAAAGGACGAGGAGGGAAAGGACGAGGAGGAAAAGGAGGAGGAGGAGGAGGAGGAGGAGGAGGAGGAGGAGGAGGAGGAGGAGGAGGAGGGGGGGAGGAGGAGTGCGAGTAGGAGGGGGAGAAGGAGTGGAACAATGAGGGGCTCCGACCGAGGGCCCCAGCGGCCGGGTCCGCACGGCGGCCCCCGCGCTCCTGTCGGAGCACCGCTCGCGCGCCGCGTGGCCTCGTGCGGAGCTCCACCGAGGACCTGAGCGGCAGGGCCCGTACGGCGGCGGCGCTGAGGAAGGAACCCTTTTCGTTGGGGAGGGGCTCGGTGTTCCTTAGTTGTTTTGCAGTTCGCCTTTGGTTTTGCTTAGGGTTTCGATGGGAAATCGAAGTTTAACTTATGGGAAAAAGGGGCCTCGTTCCTTATTTACCGTTCCTTAGGTCAACGCCCCGACTGTATGGCGGCCCCGCACCCATCCCGCACACCCCTCACACGTTTCGTGACTCCACAGGGGGACGCCTTTCCTTCGTCCCGCCAGCGGTGCTCGCACTCCCACATGGTTGGGCCTTTCGCCTAGGTAGTGTCACCATGGAGTTTCCTTTGAGATTTCCACGATTTGTATGACCGCACTTTTTTTCGAACGGATGATATTGTTGGACACGCCGTTGAGTTGTACGATTATTGTCTTCCGCGCTCCTGTTTACGCGCCAGTCGGATGCAACACTATGCCTTTTCAACGCTGGGCCCTCGTCAAACTGGCAGGCCCAGCTGTGCTCATTGCTTAAGGGAGGGCGCTTCTTGCAGGGGACTTGGGACAGGAGGGGACTTGGGACGGGATGGCTTGTCGTAGCATAGTGTGTTCATAGTTGGTTGATTGTTGTGCTCCTCCTCGTCTTTCTCCTCTCCCCCTTCTCCCAATGATCCTTCTGTGGCGGTGTTCGGTCTTGCTCGCGCCCTCCCACTCAGGGCGGAGAGGGCGGGTGAGTGCAGCCCAGGTCCTGCGCCCGTCTCACACGAACGCCGAACTTTGACAACGAGCCGCCCTTGTTTAAATGATTGCCAGAATTTGAGACGAAGGTGCGCGGTGCTAGGGCGAGAGCCCCAGTTTGAAAAGGACTTGCCCTCCCTCATTGAGGCACTTGCAGAATGTTAGCACGGCTGTGCGCGACGCTCAGTCGAGAGCACCACTTTGAACAGGACTCGCCCCCCATCATTGAATCATTGAAGCTGTCACCACATGCTAGAATGAATGTGCGCGGCGCAATTGCCAGAACACCATTTTGGAAGAGGCCCCCCTTCCGTCCCTGAAACTGTTGCAAACGTTACAGGCGGATGCGCGCGGTGGTCAGGAGGAAATTCGAGGAGGAGGAAATTGACCAGTGTAAGCCCAAGACGCGTCACCGATGTTGTAATACACGCTGTGCCCCTTTGGAAGGGAACCTTTTGAGACTCCACATCCCTGACAAAACAACGTTCTTGGGACTTCAACGCTGGGATCTCCACGTCATTGTTGCGTCTTGACAAATTCAATCCGTGCCAGAACACCGTTCCTGGGACGGCAACACCGCAAACCGACTAGACGGCTGCGCCCTGAGAACCCTAATTCGTGCCAGAACACAGTTCTTTGGATTTCATCCATACTTGAGCCATACGGATCTTTGAATCGCTTTCAAGCTGTTGCAAACTTTCAAGACGAATGTGCGCGGCGAGGCGGCGAGAGCCACCTGTCGACAACGGGCCATGTTCCATCCTTGGAGTTGTTGCAAACGTTGCAAATGTATGTGCGCGGCAGTGAGGAGGAGGAAGAGGAGGAGGAGGAGGAGGAGGAGGAGAAGGAGGAGGAGAAGGGCCAGTGTAAAGCCAAAGCGCATCAACGATATTTCAATAAACCCTCCCTCGAATGCCCCCTTTTCACAGGCCCTTACACTAATGCAGAATGATTACGAGAACCGCCCCATTGGAAGACAGCCGTTTGAGAATCCCCGATCGTGCCAAATTCGCGCAACCCAAACTCACGCCAGAACGCCGTTCCTGGGACTTTCACCAGACGAATATTCGAAGCTGTTGCCAACTTGAAAGGCGACGGGTGCGCGGCGCCCAGGCGGGAGCCACGTTTTGAAGAGGAGCCGCCCTCCGTCCCTGAAGCGGCCGGCAACTGGTAAGACGAAGGTGCGCGGCGCTGCGGCGAGCGCCGCATCTTGAAAGCGGGCCGCAACGCATCCCTGAGGCGAGCGCAAGCTTTTGAGTCGAATGCGCGCGGCGCAAAGGCGAGAGCCACATTTTGAAAAGGGCCCGCCCTCCATCCTTCCAGCTGTTCCAGTGTCCAGGTTCCGTGATCATAGCGGGTCAGGATGTCTCAGGGAACAAACGCCCAGTCCACCCTGCCGACACGTTCGGGGACCGACAGGGAGCAGTTATTCATAATGGAAAGGAATGGAGGATCAGCAGGAGGAGGAGGAAGAGGAGGAGGGTGAGGAAAGGGAGGAGGAGGAGGAGGAGGAGAAGGAGAAGAAGAAGAAGGAGGATAAATGGGAGGAGGGGAGGAGGAGAGGTAGGAAGGAGGAAAGGAGGATTAGGAGGAGGAGGAGGAGAGGAGGAGGGCTGGAGGAGGGGGAAGAGGATCCAGAGGATCTAGGATGGTTGTCCGGGGATCCAAGGAGGATCCAGGAGGTTCGAGGAGGAGGAGGAGGAGGAGGAGAAGGAGGAGCAGGAGGAGGAGGAGGAGAAGGATACGGCAAGCACGTCAGATAAGCGACTGGCCTGCCGGCAGGTGCCGCGCGGAAGTTGCGCACCCCTTTGCGGACGCCAAAGGCCGCACATTGAAGTCCTTGCGCACCGTGGGAAGTTTTATGTACATGCGAGTGTGCCCCCAGATCTCTTACTGGAAGGTTTCTCATCGTGTGCGCTTGCTGCAGGAGCAGTGGGTGTGGGAGAGGGGGAGGAGAGGGTGGGTTGGGCAGGGGATCGCGGAGGAGGATCGGGAGGGCGAGCTTGGAGTTGGAGCACATGAGGATCCTCCCTTCTCCATATTTCTCGTCCTCCTCCTCCTCCCTCCATCCCTGGCTCCCTTCCTCCTCCGTCCTCCCTCCTCCACCCCCCCTCCATGGCAGGCCTCCTCGTGGCAGAGCCCCTCCTTCTCCTTCTCCTCCTCCTCCTCCTCCTCCTCCTCCTCCTCCTCCTCCTCCTTCTGCCCCGAGGGGGGCACCTGCGCGTGGGGGGGGCACGCCAGGTCCCTCGGGGAACTGAAATCCCCCTGGGTAGCCGGCCCGATGATCGGCAGCCACCCCCCTGTTGGGGGGGTCGGCGGGGGGGGACTGTGCCCCGCTCCTCCGCTCCTTGGCTCCTTGGCTCTCCTCGCTCTTCGGCTTGGCTGTCCCTGGGTGGGGGTGGGGCTCTGGGTGGGGCGGGCTCGGGATGCCCCCCGTTTGCCAGGCCCCCCTGGCGCGGGGTCCCTGCGGCTCGTCTTACTTGGGGTCCCTCCCCCTTCTGGGGCCCTCGCCCCCCCCCCTCTCTTGGCTCCTCCTCTCTCTGGGGTTCTGCAGTCCTTCCCCTGTCTACCCGCCCGGCGGGGGGGTGGTGGGCAGCGGGCAGGGGCGGAGCTTGGTCTCCGGAGCATGGTCTCCAGCCCCGGGCCCGGGCCCGCGGCGGCGGCCAGGTGTCGGATGGGTGGATCCCCGACGCCGCTGTCGCGTGTGGTGGCGCGTGTGCGCCCGCGAGCGTTGTTGCTGCCATCGGGGTCAAGGCGTGCCTCCCCTTTTTGAGGCGGAGGCGGGAGCGCACTTGCCGCGCACGGATAGCCTCGGCGATGGCATATCGCTCATTTGCGGGCAGG